GGAGGGAAGCAGCAACCGGGAAGGCTCAAGCCATGGCATCTCAACAGCATCACTGCTGACCCCAGCCATGGCACCAGCACCCGTGTCGGCTCTGAGCTCTGCGTTCCCAAAAGCTGAGCCCACTTCCAGGTGCTTCCAGAAGAGATTCACTGATTTGGGCAGGAAACCTTTTGCTTTGGCACCTCAAAGACCTTCTGGTCAATGACAGCCTACCTGGGCACTTAACACATTGCAGGTTTTCCCCAGCACCACCCTTGGCATGGTCAGGCTGGTCTTTGGAGACCAGAGGAGAAATGACTCCAAGCCGAGGCGGTCACGATGATCTCACTGCTAATTATGCAGAGAAGTCATTTAGCTGTGGCTGTGCGTGATGAAGTGATATGACAGAGAGGAACAAACCCCCACGGCCACTCTGTGCATTGCAAATTAAAGAGAAAAAAACCCCCAAAGCGAGCAAAGCCACCTGTGCCTGCCCCTCCACGAGCCGCTGCAGATGCTGCGCTACCCCCAAACCCACTGCAACTAGGGACAGGCAGCTCAGACTGGGAAACAATTAAATTAAACATCCCATTAGCTCCGCTTTCCTCTCACGTTTCTCTGGGTCTGTTTTCCACCTCGATCCCAGCAGTGGGAACATCACTGCAGTGGGACTCACCAGCACTTTAAAGAGGAGTCTGGGATTAGCACCGGCCTTATTAAAAACACTCGCTCACACCTCGTTTTACCTTCACGCTGGAGATGATTTAGCTTGATTTATTCTAATTAGTTGTAATTTATTGTTTTAATGAGCTCTTCTGCAGGGTTTTTGTGCTTCATAACCACCCTCCTTGGCTGCTATAACACATTTCAAGGAGGTCTTTTTACAGGGAGAGGTTTCCAAGGCCACCTCGGATAGGAAGCTTTTTGTTGCGAAACGAAAGAAGAAAATGAAGTTTGCCTCTCCTCCAGGATGGCTCTGCTGTGGAGCATCTGGCAGGGAGCAGGAGGCTGCACTTCAGCACGTCACCCAAACAGCAAGACAGCCCTTAATTACCAGCAACGTTTGCAACTGGGCTTAAAGACTGAGAAAAGAAAACAAATAGAAAATTCTCCTTCCTCCTGGCTACAGCTCGTTATTTGAGAGAGGAATTTGTGGCTATGAGATATTGCAGTGCCCAGAGGCAGCTGCAGCTCCGTGAGGGGGTTGGTGATGTTTAACACCACGGTCACATACGCTGGTGGGAGGTCCCTGGGCTTGAGCCTCCGAGCACACCCAGTCCTCTCCTGAGGTGGGTACAGGCAGAAGCACCCAAACCACGGTGCTGTGGAGGTGTCTCCCCCCTTTCTTTCTGCTGGGATGGGCAAAGCTTCAGGAGCTTCTTGGTCTGCTCCCAAGGGTTGCCATGCTGGTTGGTGGCTTGAGCTCCCACTGAACCTCCTGGCCTTTGGTTTAAGGGGCAGCCAGGAGGGGTTATTTCTGTGGCATTGATTGCTTTCATTAGACAAAACATGAAAGTTTTTGCTTCTCTGTCCCCATGGCCATTGTGTGGCAAAGTCTTCTCTTTGGAGACATCCAGAATAAAGCAAATGAGATTTACTTTGCAAGCAGAGACCAAAACTGCCACAAAGCAAAATCTCCAACTGAAGAGAAATTCCTGGAGAGAAACTCCCAAAAAGAAACACAAAAAACCCCAAATGACCTCAGCTTTAGCAGAGAAACACCTGGATGGTTACGGGATGTTCTCTGGGGGAAGAGGGACCAGCTTGTACCGAAGGGGCCCTGGTTTGTACGAGAAACCCTTGGGGAGCCAGGGATGATCCAGAGGGCTCAGCTGTCGGCTGTGGCTCTGCCCAGGCATAACCCAACCCCGGGAGCTGGGGAGCCAGAAAATGAGACCAGCTCAGTTCTTCTAGGAGAAGAACCCAGGCCTCTGGAGATGCCTGGTGTATTTGGACAGCTCTGGAGCTTCTTGTGGGTTCTTTACCCTGCTCCACATGCTGCCAGCCAAAATAAATCAACTCGGCTTTTGCTTCCATTTTAGGAAAATAAATCCTGTGGGACAGGGCTGGGAGCCCCGTGCTCACCAAGCCCAGCCCCAGTGGGGTATAAACTGGTGCTTAGAAACTGCTGGACCCTGCTGGCCCGTGGCCCTCCCCTGCCGAGGGCCAGTTGTGCTGGCAGAGACCCCACGGCTCCCTCGGCCGCTCAGGACATAGCAGGACACGGCCGGGAGGTCTGTTCAGCTGAGCCCCAGCGAGCTCTCCCAGGGCTGGGTGACCTTACCCTTATCTCTTCGTGTCCTGTGTCGACCGCAGCGGCCAGCTCAGGCTGCCAGTCCCCCAGGCCCGGTTTCCCATGACGCAGCCCCCCTTATCTCATGGCACTGCATTCCCAGCCCCGTGTCTGCAGCACCGGGAACCCCCCACTTGTGCTGTGGGAGAAGCTGGAAAAATCCTTCCCAAGACAAAAAGGTGGTGTGAACCCCCACATTTCCCTCCAGCTGCCCAGGAGAGCTTTGCTAGGGCTTAGAGCTGAGCTTGCTCAAGCCTGCGGTCCTGAAATGCATCGAGGTGCATTTACCTCCTTCAGTGGTAAAAATCATTTGGCTTGGAATGATGTGGATATGGATACATCTAATGCTGCTCCTGAAAGAGAAATAAGGGAGCCTCCTAGAGTAATTCAGGGGCCAGCAGAGAGGTGCTGCCGTGGCTGGGGTGCCCCATGCAAGGTGAATTGCTGCTGCACACAATCCCACCCCTTCTCCCACCTGTGAGAGGGGGCCCAAAATGCACAGCCCTGGGTCTGGGCCCCCACCAAGCGCCCTTGGCCGGCACCGGGGCTGGACTCCAAAGCCTCCTGCTCCCTGCAGCCACGTCCTGTGCATGGCATCTTCCTGTCAGAGCTGATATTAAGCCATAAACCGTAATGCGTTGTGACCCCCTCAACGCAGTGTAATTGCTATAAACCCATGAAATGTAATGTAATTGTCAGAGCAGCCATTATGGTGTTGTGTTACGGGTCTAATGGCTGCGAGCAGTTACCTCGCATGCGGGCTGGGGACGAGCAAACAGCTCCTGCTCCCCCCAGCCCCCATTCTGCAGCACCCTGGTACCCCAGAAACCCACATTTCCCACCCCATCCTCCCCAGATGCAGGGGAAGATACTGATGTAGAAACAGCCCAGTGTTTCCAAACTTAATTTTCATTTACAGAAACACCAGTAGGGATTACTTTTTTTTTTCCTAAAGCCTCCCTCACTTCACTAATCAGGTCATACTTAAAAAAAACCTAGATCTCCACTTACAATTATTTCATTAGTATGTGATACTCCAGACAACCCAGCAGCTTGTGAAGCTGCTGGCTGCACAGGTCCAAGCACGCTGCCTGGGTAAGAGGTCCTCAGTGCTAATTGCTGATGCCAACCTCAGCCATTAAGAAATTATTGCTAATGCATCTTACAGCAGCTTTTGTAAGATGTTATTAAGGAATTAATCAGAAAGCAGAACCAAATAAAACAGAAAATTATTAAAGAAAATAAAAATCTCCC